ATAGCCGGTAACGACCGGCTGTGACCCGGCGACTGACATCCGCGACCATGATCGGCAGGACAGGTAGGGCGGCGGTGCGCCTCGCGCACGCCCCCTACCTGTTTTGAAAACACACATTTTAAAATGTGGTTTTGCCCAGCCGTGCAGCCCTGCCGCCGTATTTCTACAGTGGCTGGGCGGCATGTGGTTAATATATTATACTACGGATAATATAGTAGTAGACTAACATCCAGTTCAACCATAAATTTTTTTAAAAAAAAAGTTATATATACCAAGAAAAATGGTGATGTGTGTATTTATTACAGGTAAAATATTTTATAAAATGTTATAAAATATTTTTTTTAATGATATACAGTGGGGAAAATGAGCACCATCATTACACAGCACTTTACATATATATTGTACATTCACATCAGTCCCCGCCCCCGAGGAGCGTACAATCTAAGGTCCCTAACTCCCATTCATACATACACATACTAGGGACAATTTAGACAGGAGCCAATTCACCTACCAAGCATGGAGTTTGGGAGGAAACCGGAGTACCCAGAGGAAACCCACACAGGCACAGGGAGAACATCCAAACTCCAGGCAGGTGGTGCCGTGGTTGGGATTCAAACCGACGACCCGAGTACTGCCAGGTTGAAGTGCTAACCACTGAGCTGCCCTTTTTTTAATGCTTATTTTCCCCGCTGAATATTATTAAAAAAATATATATTTTATAACATTTTATAAAATATTTTATATTAAATCATGATTCTAATTTTTCCCCCCAAATTTGGTCACGTTACCCCTAAAAGAATGGGTTGACAGGCATCACTTTAGAATTGACCGCCCCGGTCAATTCAATCCAATGCTTCGGTTTGTTATTTGACCACTAGATGCCACCAGATCACATGCTTTTTCCCATCTCTGCGTTCCAGACGACTTTCTGGTGTTTGCGTTCCACCCCGGATAGTGAGACTTGGAACGCAAACCCGGAAGTGCTGTCAATGACCCGGAAGTCCACTGTACAGCTGGTCCTGACTTTGAATGCTGGTTATCATTTACTGTAGAAGATGTGAAGTGACAGGAGGGGGGGATCTGGTGAGTCTGGGGGACACCAATGTGTCAGCAGTGCTCTGTTATATATAGACAATCAATTGAGTATTATATAATTGATAGAAGAAATTGTCTATCCTGGTGGTTGTTTTGTGTCTTTTGGGGTAAGGATGGAGCTGGGGGAGGGGGGTGTCCACGCAAGAGGATGGAGCTGGGGAAGGGGGGTGCCCACCCAAGAGGATGGAGCTGGGGAAGGGGGGTGCCCACGCAAGAGGATGGAGCTAAGGAAAGGGGGGTGCCCACCCAAGAGGATGGAGCTGGGGAAGAGGGGTGCCCATGCAAAATGATGGAACTGGGGAAGGGGGGTGCCCACCCAAGAGGATGGAAGGGGGGTGCCCACCCAAGAGGATGAAGCTGGGGAAGGGGGGTGCCCACTCAAGAGGATGGAGCTGGGGAAGGGGGGTGCCCACCCATGAGCATGGAGCTGGGGGAGGGGGGGTGCCTGCTTAAGAAGATAGAGCTGGGGGAGGGGGGGTGCCTACCCAAGAGGATGGAGCCGGAGAAGGGGAGCACCCACCCAAGATGATGGAGCCGGGAAAGGGGTGCCCCACCTAAGATGAGATGGAGCTGGGGAAGGGGGTGCCCACCCAAGAGGATGGAGCTGGGGAAGGGGGGTGCCCACCCAAGAGGATGGAGCTGGGGAAGGGGGGTGCCCACCCAAGATAATGGAGCTGGGGGAGGGGGGTGCCCACCAAAGAGGATGGAGCTGGGGGAGGGGGGTGTCCACCAAAGAGGATGGAGCTGGGGAGGGGGGTGCCCACCAAGAGGATGGAGCTGGGGAGGATGGAGCTGGGGGAGGGCTTCATGAGATCCCTACACCCCCCCATGAGTCAGCCTCAAGCCTGAGGGGAGCATGAGTCTTCCCCTTCTAGGAAACGGGTGTCTACACCAATACGGAATCTAGCTATGTATGTTTTGGCTTCCTGGGCGCCCTACGCCCCCATAAGTTAGCCTTTAGGCTGGAGGTGCATGTGTCTCCCCCTACTAGGAAGCTGGCTGTGTATGTTCTGGTTTCCTCAGCTCCTTATGTCCTCACGAGTCAGCCTTGGACCTGGGATTGTATGTGTCTACCCCTACTAGGAAGCTAGCTATGTACATTCTGGCTTCTTGAGCTCCTTATGGGGTGTACCCCCATAAGACAGCCTCGGGCCTAGGAGGTGCATGTGTCTACTCCTACTAGGAAGCTGGATACGTACGTTCTGGTTTCCTCAGCTCCTTACGTCCTCATGAGTCAGCCTTGGACCTGGAATTGTATGTGTCTACCCCTACTAGAAATATAGTTATGTACATTCTGGCTTCCTGAGCTCCTTACACCCTCACGAGTCAGCCTCCGGCCTAGGAGGTGCATGTGTGTATGCCTACTAGGAAACTGGCTGTGTATGTTCTGGTTTCCTGAGCTCCTTACGTCCTCATGAGTCAGCCTTGGACCTGGGATTGTTTGTGTCTACCCCTACTAGGAAGCTAGCTATGTACATTTTGACTTCTTGAGCTCAGTCTTGGGCCTGGAAGGTGCATGTGTCTCCACCTACTAGGAAGCTGGCTGTGTATGTTCTGGTTTCCTCAGCTCTTTACGTCCTCTCGAGTCTGCCTTGGACCTGGGATTGCATGTGTCTACCCCTACTAGGAATCTAGCTATGTACGTTCTGGTTTCCTGAGCTCCTTACACCCTCATAAGACAGCCTTGGGTCTAGGAGGTGCATGTGTCTACTACTAGGAAGCCAGCCATATACGTTCTGGTTTCCTCAGCTCCTTACGTCATCACGAGTCAGCCTTGGACCTGGGATTGCATGTGTCTCCCCCTACTAGGAATCTAGCTATGGATGCTTTGGCTTCCTGAGCTCCTTACACCCCCATAAGACAGCCTCGGGCCTTGGGAGGTGCATGTGTCTACCTCTACTAGGAAGCCAGCCATGTGCGTTCTGGTTTCCTGAGCTCCTCACGAGTCAGCCTCGGACCTGGGATTGCATGTGTCTACCTCTACTAGGAAGCCAGCCATGTACGTTCTGGTTTCCTGAGCTCCTTACGTCCTCATGAGTTAGCCTTGGACCTGGGATTGCATGTATCTACCAATACTAGGAAGCTAGTTATGGATGTTTTGGCTTCCTGAGTGCCTTACACCACCATAACTAGGACGCCAGCCATGTACGTTCTGGTTTCCTCAGACAGCCTCGGGCCTGGGAGGGATGCATGTGTCTACCTCTACTAGGAAGCCAGCCATGTACGTTCTGGTTTCCTCAGCTCCTTACGTCCTCATGAGTTAGCCTTGGACCTGGGATTGCATGTGTCTACCCCTACTAGGAAGCTAGCTATGTACATTCTGACTTCCTGTGCTCATTACGTCCTCATGAGTCAGCCTTGGACCTGGGATTGCATGTGTCCACCCCTACTCGGAATCTAGCTATGTACGTTCTGATTTCTTGAGCTCCTTACACCCCCATAAAACAGCCCCGGGCCTAGGAGTTCTTGAGCTCCTTACACCCTCACGAGTCAGCCTCGGGCCTAGGAGGTGCATGTGTCTACTCCTACTAGGAAGCTTGCTATGTAAATTCTGGCTTCTTGAGCTCCTTACACCCTCACGAGTCAGCCTCGGGCCTAGGAGGTGCATTTGTCTCCCCCTACTAGGAAGCTGGCTGTGTATGTTCTGGTTTCCTCAGCTCCTTATGTCCTCATGAGTCCGCCTTGGACCTGGGATTGCATGAGTCCACCCCTACTGGGAAGCTAGCTATGGATGTTTGGGCTTCCTGAGCTCCTTACACCCCCATAAGACAGCCTCGGGCCTGGGAGGTACATGTGCTTACGTCTACTAGGAAGCCGGCTGTGTACGTTCTGGGTCCATGAGTCAGTCCTAGGCCTGGAGGGTCCATATGTCTTCCCCTATCAGGAAGCCACCAGGATATGAGAGGGGCGGTAGGTTATAAACCTCAGACATGAAATACAAACAAAGCATATCCCTCTATAGTCTGTACTTGTCTCAATTAGAAGCACTAGGTGTCATTTCTGTCTGCTGCATTGTTCCTCTGCTATCAGCATGACAGGTTTTCCTGACACCAAGAGAAAAATGGTGACAGGGGAGGGACCTCCAGCAGATTGACAGCCTCAGCTCTGTTCCTGTGAGCTGTGTGGAGAGGGCAGGGGGTGTCCCTTGCTTCCAATAAGCTCTCAGAGCTCTCCTCACATCACAATTTGTGAAATGTCAGTTTCTTCTTCTTGTTGTACAGCTCCTCAGGGTAACGTTCATATCTTTACACCTTTATATTTCTGATTTTTTTCTTTCCTCCCAACAGGATTGTCCATTATCGATCGAAAGTAATGGATGATCTGGATACGACTTCTCATATGAACGAAAAACTCCTGCCATGTACTGAAGGAGACCTCCTGCAGTCTCACAGCCCCACCCCCACCAACCAGAAAGTAAGGCAGGATCCCCCAGACCATAAAGTAAGCAGATCTCAAAAACTTGTGAAGGAATCAGTTGGGTCTACTGAATTGGACCCTAACGTCGGCACCAGGGCGGACATCTGTGACTCTGATACTCCTCCATCCACCAATTCCCTATCTACTCACATGAAGGAAGAGCCCAGCTCAGGTGAGGAAGACGCGCTCGTTGCACCAGAAGATCCTACACAGCTCAATCTGATCGACGTTCAAGTGAAGGAAGAAACTTCTTCAAGTGAAGATGAGAAGGTGACCAGCAGGGACACTTCAAAACCAACCAGTCTTCCAGAGGAGCAGAATCAATCCTGCAGGACATACAACTGCTCTAAGTGCGACACAGCCTTTGAGAATTACCCAGATTTTGTTACCCACCAGGCTGACCACCCGAGGATGGACATCTCTTGCTCGGAATGTGGGAAGCAGTTCCGTTATAAGTCACAGCTGTTACGACATCAGCAGACTCACACGGGGGGGAGAAACCTTACCCCTGTCCCACATGCGGGAAATGTTTTACATGCAAGTCGGAGGTCTACAAGCACCAGGTGACCCACACCCGGGAGAAGTCCTACTCCTGCACCGACTGCGGGAAGCGCTTTATGAGGCAGTCGAGTCTGATCAACCACCGGATCACGCACACCGATGACAAGCCTTTTTCCTGTTCCGAGTGTGGGAAGTGCTTCAAGTGGCAGTACAATCTCTCGTTACACCAGAGAATTCACACTGGAGAAAAACCTTACGTATGTTCTGAGTGCGGAAAGTGCTTCTCATGCCGGTCAAACCTCATCTATCACCATCGAACTCACACAGGGGAGAAGCCTTTTATCTGTCCTAAATGTGGGCAGTGCTTTGCGTTCCGAACGCAGCTCACCAGACACGGAAGAAGGCATCAGTGA